ATCATTTTGTGGACCTAGGCAAGTTGTTTTTTGGGCAGAAGTCAACGGAAAAAGTCATTCTTGTAATCTCAATTTTTTGTATAAGAAACCCTGTATTAGATAATAGAATAGTTATAAAAGAATGTTAATGTATTCCTGTTCCTGTTCATGGTAATATTATACGAATACAAAAGATCGCAGTTTTTTTATTGACGCAGCTAGTGTTAAACCAAAAGATACTAGCTGTGGCCAGTCTAAGAACTGGCACTCGTGATGAGGATGTAGCCAGCAGCATCATCCCCATTCAATACTAACGACCAGAAGTTGTGTAGTTGATCTTCGGGAATTTTAAAACAACACTTAAGACTTCAATATCTCAATAATTAAAAAAACTGTACTTATACCTTTTTAATTCCAAACCCCTAAATTGTTAAAACTTTGATATTTAATTACTCAATAACTTTTTTTTTGGGTTGGTTCAGTTTTGATTTCGTACCTGCAACATGGAGTTTAAAACATTAAGACAAATGCTGCATGCGAGTGCGAAAATTGTGAATTTTAATATGATTTGTTATTGATTGGTTAAATCAATGACGATAAATTGAGAGTGACTGCAGCGGTAAGTCGTGCTTCCAAAATGAGTGGGGTCAGTGAAAAAACAATTTATACCATCAAGAAAAAGGAGGAACAAAACAATGGCGAATTGAAATCTCCTGCAAGCAGAAAAAGCGGATAAGGCAGTCAAATTCTCGCGAAAGTACATATGATGAGGATTTTAAGATCTTATTGAGAGGAATTGTGCACAATGATTTTATTTTAAAACATTCCGCCAACTTTGAATACAATTTATAATATAATTTGTGGGAATGAGAATTCACCATCGTTCTCTTTAAGAACCCTATGTAGATTGAGGAAAGATATTGGTTTTGAATATGTGAAGCGTGGTCTTAAAAAAATAATTGGAACGTTATCTATTTAGATGAGACTTGGGGCAACGTGGGTCAAACGGTTAACTATGCATGGTGTGATAACACCATAAAAAATCGTAGAGATGCTTTTATGAAGGGTTTAACCACAGGCGTCAAAGCACCTACAAAAAGAGGTCCACGTTTCGTTATTGTTTATGCAGGTGGATTTTTACCTGGCGCCGAGCGTATTTTCTTGGCAAAGAAAAACGATGGCCATTATCATAACAAAATGAACGCCGATATTTTGAGAAGTGGTTTGAAGAGTTGCTGATTCCTAACTTACCCAAAAATGGAAGAAAGAACGTTGTTGTTATGAATAACGCTTCGTATCATTCTCTGAAATTTAGTTTTCCAGCTATCTTATGGACGACCCCTATTTAAAATCTGAGCTGCTTGAAGTTGCCAACGCATACAGATAGCAATACGACAAATATAAGATTAAGGAAATAGTTGCAAAATACAAGGTAACTGATTTCAAGACACAGGATGTTTGTTTATTGATAGATAAAGCATTTGAACATATCACTGAACAAATTGCGTTGCACATATCAGAGAAAAAACGGAAAAAGAAATGTGAGTCACTGATAATCTCGAAGACAACGTTGATGAACTCATTCTAAGAGTACCTAAATTTTGGCGACGTTCTGAGAGTGAGAGTTCAGACCTCGACGATGACTTACAATGACTTATCTGTTGCTTAAAATTTGTTAAATTATAAATTTGTAATTTTGAAATTCATTGTTTATTATTTATTATTGAACATATAAAAACCTTTATCAATTCGTATAGTCTACTCTAATGTTTATTGGTTTTTTGTGTATCTAATGTGTATATCTTATCTTTATTTGCTATAACCAAATTGCTTTGTACTCTGGGAAAAGTATCTATATTGTTATACATACCTCTATTTACTGGTAAATTCTAAAAATATAGATTTTTAATTTTCCATTGTTATTCTAAATATCTATAAACAATTTAAAACCGTCAATAAAATTATGAAATGTGTATACCTTGAATTATTGCATTTGAATTTTACTTTTAGTGTCACAATCTTAAAGTAGGCCATGACCGACAAAGGCAGAGATACGAATCATGTCTGGGATAGCTATGTACAGCTCTGAATTAAATCCAAACTGTCACTTAAAAAGAGGAAGAACTGTACGCTCAGACGTACGTGAAATTTTCCAAGGCCTATTTTAGAATATAATAATAATAATGTTTATCCACAAAAAAGAAATACAATGCAAATTTTTAAAGACAGGTAAATAAACGTTAACTACACAAAATCTGTAGACAGCTTGTCAAGCCATTTAATTAATTTCAGCCCGGTCTCTCAAGGATCCGATCTAGGACCACTCGTTTATTATTTACTTAAATGATAATTTTTTTTTCGTAAGAGTATCTGTTTGCTAATGATTTAATTCTTCTACAGGCTTGGTTGGAACTTATTCTGAACAATAACGGACTCAAAATATACACGATAGTAAAACAGTATAAATTATGTTTGCGGCTGTTTTATAATGCACCCAGTGTTCTCATTTAAAATGATAATTATGTACTAATAGTGGTAAATAATCAATATTCACCACTTTTTATCACTGCTCTTCCAATAAATATAGTTAGCTATTTTAACGATTGTAATTTTTACCCAATTTATTAGTAAGTTGCGACCGTCATATAAAAATCGAGTTAATTAGGTAGCTCGAATTGAAACGTTAAAATTTTGACTACAGAATAGTTTATAAAAAATGGATTCCGAAAGTCCATTTTACCCCCGTTACCTCCCCCCTTGTATACGCTAGGTACTGCTTTAATAACACCAAAAGAAAAAGAAAGCTGCAGAAATCGCTTCACTGCATTGCCAGAAAATTTGAGAAAAGAACAAAAATTATTTTTCTGAATATATTATGTTGGGAAAAAACACGAAAAACTACTAGACCAATATAAGCCCTTATTTACTTGCAAGTATACAGCTCGTGTTTTATGTTAGGTAGACCGAGTTGTCGCATTAGAAAGAGCGAAACGTCTACTAAATAGAGTAGGGATGATTTGTAAAACTCGTATACCATGGACAGAAGTTGGAAAAGCTTTTGCTAGTTCTCCCACTTCATGCACAGGATATGACAGTTTTGATGCGGAACAAACTGAAGTAACGCGAAACATTGGCGTAAAAAATTATTTTATAGATGTTACGTAAATAGTTTAATAAATTGTGAATAGCTGTTCAAATTTTGTGGAATTATGATTTGGGATAATATTACTTTAAATAATTATTTGTATTATAATAATAATAATAATTTAATAATAATAATAATTTGAAATGTTTGGTATTATTTTTATTCTATGACACGACTATGACGGACAAACATTACCGCGAAATTCTCGAAGTCGCCCGACAGGGTTTGACATTAACCACCTCTGTACCTACCAAAAGCCTTTTCAACTTTTGTCTATGGAGTGTAGAGGAAAGGAAAACAATCTCATATGGTTGTTTATCTCAAAAATTGTCCCCCAAAATGTATGAAATTAAGATGGTTCTCGTGTACTAGAAGGGATAGATCCAATGATATATAGATAGCTTATCCATATGTACATCAGACGACGAAATAGTAGTTTGTGAAACAAGAGTGGATATGATGACCATATGGAAGACGAAATTTGAACACGACACCCTAGACGGAGTGCTCAATCGTCTAAGTACGATATGGACAAACCACTCGAACTGTACAGCATATTTTTTCTACGACCTACTAATGAAAATCTACAAATATTAAAAATTATTTTGGATTATTAAAATAAAATAAAAAAATTTATTTCATTTTTTCCCATCCGGGAATCGAACTCGAGCCTTCCGTATGGAAGGCAAGAACCCTGACCACAGGACAATCTACGCGTTTATTTTTTTGCTTTAATACTCGTAATTAAATTGATTTCATATAGTTTTATTTAAATTAACAAATTAATTATAATTATGGACGAAATAAACATATAAATTCTATTATTTATCGATTCTACATAAGAATAACTCATTTTAATGTATGTTTAATCTCAATAACTAAAAAAATAGTTTGACAGAATTGTCACAATTTTAAAAATAATAGCAGTCGGTTTAATTTTTTTGCAGTGATCTCACTACTTAGAATGGATATGAAATATATACGTTCAGTTGACGGCAATAGCATACAGCATACTTTTTCGTTTTGTAAACTATATACATCATTGGTGTAATTTTGTGATCTGAATTATCGACTGTACAGAAGCGCTATCTTAATTTCATACATTTTGAGGGACACTTTTTGTAAACAGATATAGTTCTTCTTACCTCTACACTCCATACTTCTGTCCCTGCTATACAACTTCGATTTCTGCTTTACACAGTTTCCATACTGCAAAACAAATGGTGTAATTGCCTGTTTATCACCTACAATAACAGTAGCAACTAGAAAAAAAACATTAAAAAGATAATAACTGGCACTAAAAATGCAAATACACTTCCTTAATGTAATTTTGAAAAATGGATTAATTGAAAGGAGAAGGGGGTAAGAAAGATAGTACTTATTTGTTTATTTTTATTAAAACAAAAGAGAAAAAGTTTTAAACCTAAAAATAGCTACTACTCTTCGCAAGTACTATTAATTATTTTCTCAGCAGGAGTGGTTGAGGGCTACATATAGATGACTCCATAAGAAACAAAACAAGAAGGTATTTATAAAAAAATAGCTCAATAAAAATAAATAATTCTTATTAGTATGACAACAATTAAAACATTTCCAACAAATATTCAATATATTAATTTAGACGTTAATTCTATTGGTATCATGAACAAATAATTAACATTGTACTGTAATTAGTTATATGTTAATGTTATTTTGAAATGTTATAAAAAATAATGTTCCATAAATATTTGATGAAAAAAATATCTTAACAGTCGTGGACAAAATATAGTATTCTACATAATAGCTATTATTCACACGAATGATTTACTTAATCCTTGTGAATAATATCATTATATGCTTGTTGAATAATATACTTTTTTTATAAATAAATGTGTACCTGCTGCTCATCTTAGATCAATTAAAGCTGCAGATTTCGCTTTACCGCAAAACAACGCACTTTTTTCATACGCATACACACAAACGATCTATCAGGGCCGCTAGCAAAGTGAATACTACAAAGATTAATCAAAATATAATATGGCGTGTGAGAACGTTATCACATGGGAATTTAAACGGGGGTTTTATCGAGCAAACACGCTCCCAAAATAAAGAATTAATTAGAAAAGAATGCATGGATGACAATGGAGGGAATGGAAAAGTGTGTCCGAGAAACATAAAGGATTCTCGAATTTTGGTTGGAAGCAGTGGTGGAGACGATACTTATTTTTTACTACGTAATAACCTGGAAAAATCACCGTTATTCAATTCTAATAAAAATGAAAAATCACTTGGGTAAATAATAAAAAACTTTCTATATTTTGTCTTTATGAAAAGCACGTACATATTAAAACTGGTTAATATTTTAACTTTGGGTGACCAAAAATATAAAGTATGTGTACATAAATTGCTGAAAATCGACTTTAAAATAAAAATAACCATTACCATGTTGATGTATGTTAGTTAAACATTATGTTCATTTAAATAGGTCCTTGTCTCGAGTTTAGTTCAATAGTTCAATAGCTGTCTAGTGTGTCTGTTATTGACAATGTTGCCAAAGTGCATTTCGGCACATTTTTTGTAAGGTTGTCATTTTTATTTTCGTTAAAAGATATATTTTTAACATTCGTGTGGTAGAACAAGCTTGTTACAATGTTATAATTTGAAGAAAATTTAATTTAACGTCAGAGAGCATCAGCACTACTGTGCTTATGCGAAATGTTATCGCGTAAAATTCTATGCAGTTTTTTAGATACAGTCAAGCATACAGTACGGCCCCAGTATAAGTATTCTAGCAGTAATGACACGCCCTGAGTGGAAAAAAGACGCGCAGCTTTTACTGCGCTGACGTACTCGGGATATAATCTATCACTTGTCGAAAATCCGGTTAAAAACTCGCTACCATGCGCAGACAAGCCATATACGATACCCAAAGTTTTTGTAATACAGTCACAGTTTAAAAACGAAAAATGTGTTGTTTTGATGGTGGATTTAAATCAAAAATACCACAGATACACTTCAATATGTGTTTTATCCTTATTGTTAATTTTATTTGAGGACATTAGAATAAATACTAGAAGTAATCAAGCTAAAAAGGTGTATTATAAAAAGAAAATACATCGCATTTGACTGATTTATGTTTAATATGTTTTCATGAAGTATTTCCAACATGCTAGTTACTTGAATGGTTGTAAATTGTAAGAGTATAAGTGATCTAGTACTTTGTGCTTCCTTGTTTTTTTTTGTTGGTGTCCCAGCCCCCAGCTCAGCATTCCCAGCCAGCAGTAGTAGCAATAACATTAACATTATCTACATTAAACCCATTTACATAAACATGATTAATCAGCTAAAAGCAGAACACAATAGTTACCTGCAAAATGTAAACAACGCTACAAGGAAAATTGCTCATGTATAAATTCAACAATTAAATCAAAATATATTATTTTTAAAGGACTTATATCAACTATTATGTTAATTAAAAATATTATAAATATTTGTAACAAAATAATAGTTGCCACTCCAAAAAAAGATTATTTATTGATTATCAGGTATAAAAATATGTGTACCTATAGAAATTTGTTGAAATATGTTCTATTGCTCTCAATCTTTTAAATAGGTTCTTATTATAGTTGTAAATAAACATCAACATTTTTTATCTGTCTATTTAACACTTACAAACATATGCATATTTTAAGTTGTAAGAATCCGTAGCCTCTTAATTTTTCTACATTAGACACAAGACCTGTGATGTCACATTAAATCGTGAATATGTGGTAAAAGATTTGGGAGTTGTCTTTCAGTCTAATTTGAAGATCAATAACCATTTCTTACACATAACTAAAAAGCAATAAAAGCTTTGGGTTTTTAAATCAGAAACACACAAAATTTTAGGATTACCACCAAAATCAGATTATATAATGCCTTAGTAAGAACCCATTTTGAGTATGTTTCACAAATATCGATGCCTTTGGAAGCCACACATATTAACCATATTGAAAAAGATAAAAAAATATTTTACGGTACCTTTATATCATAAAAATACTCGTTCCCTTATAAGATCTTATATAAAACTATGTTCCATAGCTTTAAGATTAAATCTCTTTTACAAAGAAGAAAGCAACAGGCTGTGATATATTTTGTACTCTATTAATTTTAAATAATGTTGTGATGTGATTTGATTAATGTGGCAAAGATTAATCTAAGAATTCCAAGTAATAAAAAATTATTTCGTTTAGATCCAAGTAGTATATAAATTATACCTTATGACTGCTTTCAAACAATTTTGTGTGTAGTCACTTAGTTTAAAGTCAATATTAAATTAGTGAGTTTAATAAGAATATCAAATAGTGACATGTATTGTGTCTATGAATTTGCTGTGTGTAGTAACTGGCCAATATACATAACTTTGATATTTTATTACAAGTGTAAAAACTACGAAAACCATGTACATATAGTTCCCATTTTTAAATAAATTCAAATTAATTCATAATAAAAAGTAACGATTTTCGTCTGCCATACTTGAACTCATTCACAAAAACAAGTCACTGAGTATATATTTCTAAAAAAAAAACTACACTAAATATGTCTCGGTTATAAATTTTTATTTTTAAAGCTGTCAATTTCCTATAGATTTTGCAGTACCTAAATATGGTACAGAATAAATTTCTACAATTTACTAGAAAAGTTTTACATTAGAGTAACTCTTAAGAAATAAAGCAAAACCTCTATTTTGTTACTCTAACCTTGTATGTTATACAGAGTGGCCCAAAAGTCTGGAAACGGCCAATTATCTCGTAAATTGCTAGTCCTAATTGTACAAAATTTGGGGTACACCTATTTTTGGATACGGAGATTCCAGATTTGATATTTGCAATGTTGCCAGATTTACCGTTTCTCTTATATTATTAGTCACTTTGGTTTTTCAAATTGATCACCCTGTATATTAAGTCATTATTGGAATCTTCTATTCAATACCAGTTCAACCATATGAAACACTTATATTTTATGTAGTCTAGAAGGTCTTAAATAAATAAAACATAAGTATGGCAACGCCTAATTGTCTCATAAATTTTTTAATACAGACTATTTTCAACTACATTAAAACGTAACAATTGAAAGATTACACCATTTTTAACATAATGGTTACTTTATCAAGTGTTCAAAATGTGCTTCATTTGTGAGTTGACAGTACCCTAAGGGATGATAGAGTGCATTTACCACATTTCTCCATGATCGTTTTATTTATTTAAGACCTTCCAGACTACATACAATCATAAGTGTTGCATATGGTTGAACTCGTATTGAATAGGAGATTCCAATAATGACTTAATATACAGGGTGATCAATTTGAAAAACCAAAGTGACTAATAATATAAGAGAAACGGAAAATCTGGCAACATTGCAAATATCAAATCTGGAATCTCCGTATCCCAAAATAGGTGTACCCCAAATTTTGTACAATTAGGACTAGCAATTTACGAGATAATTGGTCGTTTCCAGACTTTTGGGTGACTCCGTATATGTCCGTTATATTTTGAACTAAAAGTAATTAAACTTTTCACTAAAAAGTAATATTTCAGTTTCGAAATTCAAACATTTTTGACACTCAATGACATATGTACATGAAAAAATTTTAAAACGGTTCTGTCCTTTTTATATTTGCGAAGACTACCCTGATATCTAATCGATTTTCTTCTTCAAAGTAGTTAAGTTGTTCAACCGTTGTCTCTATAAAGGTATCTCACATCTCGCTCATACACACGAATTTGAAAAGCAGCAGAAAAAAATCAACTAACCAGGTATAACCAAGTTTGTGTAAAGAAAACTTTTCATATCCTGAAAACGTCAAGTGTCAACCAACATTTCTAGTTTATTCCGGTTTTTCGAGGTGATCACTTGGATTTTAATACATTATAGTCAAAGTTGTTCATTTTGACTATAATAAACCTTTTACAGAATTTCATAAAGTACAAGCTGCGTTGACAGGTAGACGAATACAATAATTTAAAACTACATATTTCAATTCCCAGTTTATAATTCGTTAGTTTATAATTGAATACTATATTTTATTTATTTTTTAATTTTGACACATAAGTGACATTTTTTGTAATCCCAGCAAGTGTCAAAATGATCTACTTTAAGCAACCAGTTGCCTAATGTTGAACATTATGAAACTGGTTTCTAAAAATTAATTATGTCACCAGTTGCGCAAAGAAAACAAATAAAAATAAACCCCCAGACAACACACCAAATCCCAGAGATATCCACAGAATATCTTTTGTTGATATCCAATATATCCACAGCATATCAGAATTATCCCGTGGATCTAATATGGATATCCAAATGTCCGTCTATATCCAGAATATAGAAGATATCCTATGAATATCTAATGGGTATCTTCCAGACAATACAAGAAATCTCAGAGATATCCACAGAATATATTTTGTGGATATCCAATATATTCAGTGGATCTAATATGGATATCCAAATGTCCGTCTATATCCCAGGATATAGAAGATATTAGGATATTCAGCAAAATATTTTATGGGTATCTTTAGTAGAGGTTCATAAGTAACCAATGATTATTGAATAATGTCGAAAGAAAATAGCAGAGATAAAAATATTTTCAACACTCAAAATATTTTCAACACTCTGCCTTTGATTTTGCCCACTAAGGAGAAAGTCATACTTATTAGGACTCTTCAGCAATAAATGGAAATTCTCGACTCCAGTCTCTAATGGAGTCTGATTGGGATACAAATTTCGATAGAACTCAATTACGGCGGGTTGAGCATGAGTAGATATTCAACGAGCGAAAGTGGTATCGCCATCTATAATTAGTAAGCAAAATCAAAAATTACATCTAGTGGATATCCACCATGGTTTGCGTTCGCGCCTAGACTTTGATATATTTAGTGGATGTCCATGGGATGTTGAATACACCTTAAAAAAATTAATTTTAAATATCTGTACGGTACTATTAGCCACAATGGCGTGCACAATGGGGTAATTTTTTATATAATTTGCTATATAATTACTATTATTTATGGATATTTACATATA